TGAAAGTGTTATACAAGCAAAATGTCAATAATGGCATCAGAATTAGATATATCAGGTCGGTCACAATTCAAAAACTTGACATCTCTCTTTCTAGTTCCTAGATTCCTTGCATATCCACCTCAAAGTGATAATAACATTTCGTTTGCATCAAATATGATGAAACTAAGAACAAAATATGTAAAACTAGATAAATGGAAACCTAAAACATTTATAATTAGACCTGAGGAGAATTCTTGAGGCCAAGATTGGAGTGTAGACCCAGGCCGTTCCTGACATTTTTTAGGCCCTGGGCGAGATGTAAAAAAGGGCCCTCGATAGGTACGATAAATTTTCAATATATTGTTTTTATCATCAGAAATATCATTGAATTTATATAAAACCGTGTTTCCGAGTATTCATGGACGCAAAATCAATCAGTACTCGTTTGTAAATTAATATTATCTACTAGAACATTTTTATGTAGTATCAGTAATTTGTTTCATCATCAAAAACATTCTATGATATACTTTTGGTACATAGAATGACATCATTTGATGTCACAAAGTCAATTATTCTAATTTCCGAGTGACACTAGTAAATAAATGTAAATAGGTTGGTTTTCCATGTCATCTCATGTTAATGTTTTTAAACATCATTTTAAACTTTTATATTATGTTTTCGAATTCGGGAAGATTAACACAATTTTAAACTTTTATATCATGTTTTCGAATTTAAGAAGATTAACAACATTTTAAACTTTTATATTATGTTTTCAAACGTGGGAAGGAAATAAAATAATGAGAAAGGAAAAGAAAAATAAAAGAAAGGAAGAAAAACAAAGTTTTTTATTTGTGTTTTTAATAGATTAGAGAGCGGAAAGAAAAATAATGAAATAAAAATAAATTTTTATATAATTTTTTTCTTTTCCCTAAAAAAATCTCAAGAACAGATTATTTTTCTTCTCCTATTACTTTTATTACTTTCCTACGTAAAAGAAGATTCAAGAACATAGGGTTAGCGTTAAAATAAACTTTTTTGTAATCATCAATTGTATAAATTAAAAAACTCATGTTGGTGATAGTTTAAGATTCTATTCTTCTTTTAGAGCTAGAATAATACATACGATTTATATACTCAATAATAGATAATAAAGAACAACTATGAAAAAACAATTATAGTTTTATTACTCTAAATATAGATATAAGTTGTACCATCTTATATGGTTGATAATTTTTTCAAAAGACGGAGGTTTTATTAGCTAATAACAAGAAAATCTATTATATATTCTAATATAAAAGTAGAATTCACGAGAGAATGGAACAATCAAAAGAGTCAATGGGAGATAAATTATGGATAATATATCAAAGTTTCCGAAGCAAGTAGTTTTAGATGTCCATTTTAGATTAAAAAAACTTAGAAAAATATTAAATAATATTATATAATGAACGACAGATTAACCTCTTTATGTATTTTTTTTTCCAATATATTTAATTTATACATGTTTAGGTCTTTAATAGTTGATGTAGTACCAAAATCTTTTCTTGTCATATTAGATATTAATTTTTTTTATGTGTCTTCTATTTACTAATTTTTTTGAACTACTATTATATATATTAAAAAAATTGGGCCTCTAATTTTTATGGGCCACTAATTTTTATGGGCCCTGGGTGTATGCCCGGCCCGCCCTCCCCCAGGGACGGCCCAGTAGACCATGTGCGTCTCAAATGCCTCCAAGATTGGCCATTAAAACTGCCTGTTGGTAATCTTCAACCATGTCAATTGCTTCATAGTAAATAGCCTGCATCATAAATCACTAGACTAATAAACAAAAACATAACATAATCCGATTATGACATTGCATATCATGAGGTTGAATACAATACCAGATTAAAAAGTAAACCCTAGTTGGTAAAAATCAAGCATACAAATGTAAGTTAAAAAGAAATTAGCATACCGTGGCTTCCAAATACCGTAGTCTTTCTATCGACATTTCCTCCCGCGCCTGAAACATTAATCAACAAATTGATAGAAATCATTCAGGAAAAACATGAAATTACATTGGATGAATTATGGATACAGCTGACAATGGATAGATCGTACAAGTTGGAGATCGTTGTAGATGACTTGGAGACAAGGGATCCATAGAGAGTTATGTGTATGGTACTACGTACATATTCTGTTTTTATGTGATGTGTCATTAATTTTGTACAGTGTGTAATATCTGTCAAAATTAACCCCACTTGGTCGACTTATCATATGATAAATTGAAGTAGCAATCAATGATCATCATACTTGCTTCAATCATATGAGAATATCGATTGTTTAAAGACGGATGAAATAGCAAGAAGAACGGAATTTCAGAAATCGTACTAAACAAAAACCGATATTCATTGAAGAACAACTAAACATAAATCGATATTCTTCCAATATCACTTTAAATTGCTACATGTTCGAGAAATAGGTGTTCTTCCAATATCACTTTAAATTGCTAACATGTTCGAGAAATCGATGTTCTTCCAATATCACTTTAAATTGCTAACATGTTCGAGAAATTGATGCAGACCACGAGGAGTGATTTGAACGACGACGACTAGTGATTTCAGAGACGACAAGAGGATGTAGATAAGCGATGGCGTAAGATTCGAGCGAAACAAGCGACGAGAATGATTTGGACGGCCCAAAAGCATCTAGGGATCCTATGTAGTCCGATTGAGCGACCAACTTGATCTGTTCTTTATTTTCATATGTTTGATTATTAGTTTTATATAATATTGATTTATTTTTTAAATAAAGTTTTTTAGATAAAAAAATTTAGATACACTTTTAGAAGTGTAACTGAATTATTTTGTTTAATTTTGAAAACAAATATAATTTTTTTAACCTTTAGAGAAACTTAAAGAAAGTGTTACTAAAAATGATACTATTTTTTAGAGAGGCTTTTAATAAAAAGCATCTTTAAAGATTTTAGCGACATTTTCCTCTCCGTATGTTTAGCCCGCAAGACCTTCCCTCAAAGTTGTCCTACTTTTAGTTAGGCTTTTCATTTTTGTCATCTAAATCCTTCTCTATAATGTATCTTTAGATACATTTCTAAAAGTTTCTCTAAATATTCCTTATCTAAAGCCGATTTTTCTTGTAATGTAAAGTCAAGTTGTGCAAATGCAGCTACATTTTCCAATTCAACTTTTTTCTCCATCATGTCCTTAAATATTCCCACAGTGTCACCATTGTGGGGATTGTTAATCAAACTTAACTCTAGATCTTCACTAAAGCACAAATAGTTGAACGTCATCAATCTCTCAATAAAACTTAAGGGAATTGAATACGTTGAACTTCACTTCCTGGTCACTTACTCTCATAGTTAACTCCCTTTTTTGCACATAGATTAAAGTTCTCCTGGTCCCAAGAAGGGTCGACCTAAAATGATTGGGACATTTTTTGTCAACTCCATAATCCAACACTAGAAAATCTGCCGAAAAGATAAATTTATCGACTTAGACCAAAATGTCTTCTATCTTACATTTGGGATAAGCAATGGACCTGTCCGCCAATTGTAAGGTCACGGTAGTTGGACGGACTTCTCCAATTCCGAGTTCGTTACAAACTGACAATGACATAAGATTAATACTTGCCCCTAAATCACATAGGGCGTGACCTACTCCTTTTCCTCCTATAGAACATGGGATGGTAAAACTTCCGGGTCTTTAAGCTTGGGAGGACTTTTGCATGTAAGGAGTGCGCTATATTCTTTAGTCAAAGTAACTGTCTCAAATTCGTTCAATCTTCTTTTTTATGTAAAATGTCTTTCAAAAATTTTAACATAACTTGGCATTCGCTCAAGAGCCTCTACCAAGGGTATGTTGATGTGAAGTTTCTTAAAGATGTCCAAAAACTTCTTAAATTGCTCATCCACATTTTTGGTTTTCATTCTTTCTGAAAAAGGTAAACTTTTCAAATCCGGAGTTGGTTGGCTGGATTTTTTCTGCTAGAGAGTGAGTACGTTTTTTCCACCAATGGAAGTCTGAGCGAAGAGCTGTTTGGTGTTGGATGTGGATGTAGGGATTGTTTTCTAGACAAAAGCTGGATTTTGAGTTTCTCCATCGGGAGGACACAAAATTGGAATTTTTGACCTATGAAAAGCTTGTGAAACCTCGTTTTGATGGGTCGATTTTCTGGAGGCTTCATTTTTGTGATTATTGACTCTTGAACAATCTTCACATAGTAAAGTCATTGCCTTGATATGCTCCTTACCTTTGGGGTTTTTGTGTTATGAGGCAAAGTTTCTAAAGGTCTACCCTTGAGATCGACGGCAAATTGGCCGAGTTGAGTTTCGAAACTTCTTAACGTTGCATTGTTTGGTTTATAAAACCTTTGAGTAATGATTCGATTGAACCACTACCATTCGATACATTTTGTTCCTAGGTAAGTGTGATTGTGAGGATTTCCCACTTATGTAATTGTGAGGAGCACCTTGCCCAAATCCCGAGGGATTTGGTGGCCGACTTTGGACTTGGGTTGCCCCGGGGGGTTGAAGTCCAGGATTTTCGGCCCAAGAAAAATTGGGGTGATTCTGACAATTTGGATTATATGCGGGAGAGAATGAACTATTTCTAGCATGATTCCCAACATAATTTACGAATACGGGGTTTCCAAGGCAATATTTATAAGAATGGCTTCACCTCAAAAGACACAAGATTTAGTTATAAGTGGATTAGACATTATGGATTGGACTTCATTCTTTTCCCCATTTAAGATTATATTGTTTTTAACCACATTAGTCAAAGCTACCATTTGTGCATTTAAATAAGAGATGACATCAAGTTCATGAATGCCCGAGGCGCTCTTAGGAACAACAGAATAGGGTTTGACCATTCATTTTTATTATTAGAAATTTTCTCCAAAATGTCATACCATTCGTTATAGGTTTTAGTTGTGAAAGCTTGTCGATCGTTGCATCAAGGATAATTTTAGCGGCATTTGAAAGTCCATTGTAAAATGTTTCCAACTGAATGCAGTGAGGGATTCCATGACGATGACACCTCCATAGAAGCTCCTTGAATCTTTCCCATGCGTCCGAAATGGCTTCATCCTCATCTTGATGAAACGTCTAATTTCATTTCTAATATTCACATTCCTTGTTAGTAGAAAATATTTTTTTAGAAATTTTTACGCCAAATCATTCCAAGTGAGAATCGAGTTTGGTGGCTGAGAATTTAGCCATGCTCTAGTTCTATCCTTTAATGTGTAAAGAAAAAGTGTCAAACGTAAGGCTTCTTATGTAACTCCAGAAATTTTAAAATGATCCATCATTTCTAGAAAATACTTTAAATGAGAGTGATGATCTTCCGAGGATAATCCCCTAAACTGACCCATTGCAAAGATCATTTGAAACATTACCAGTTTTGGTTCAAAAGTTGTTGCTGTCATTTCGGGCCTACCTATTCTTGCAGCCAATTGACCAAATTCAAGAGTTACGTAGTCCCGTATTCCCCTAGTTTTATTATCGACAACTTTATCCGTGGCCTCCCGAGAGGTGGTGGTGGATTATCCCCCATCGTACGGTTTAAATTGGGTTTTGCCGATTATTTTTACCTCTTCTACGTCTTCTAATGGTTTTTTCTAATTCAAGATTGAGAGGTAAAAGTTCTATTGTGTTGTAGTCGTGACATATAACATGGAAAGTGCAAATGAAACGAATGACCAAGGCTCAAATGAAAGTGAATATCTCGGGATAAAAAATTGCGCCAATCCCCAGCAGTGCGCCAAAAACTTGGTAGCTTAGGATCGTTTGTATTCACACAGTAGCGGTGCAAGTGCATGCCGACACTATGATCGTTTTGGTGGTAAAGTACCGAGATCGTTTCTATAGGGATTGAACAATTGAGAATCGGAGAATTTCATGAACTTCTTGAACATGTTTTGGTTTATGAATAAAAGTTGAATTTTTGTTGGTGAAAAAACTTTAAAAGACGAAATAGACTTACAAATAAAAGATGGGCATGTGTATAGACTTGGGATCATGTAAGACCATCCTGTTTTCTTGAAACCCGTGAAGCCACTTTTTTACACTTGAAACTTCATAACAAAATGTTGTGAAGGGTAACCTTCACAATGTTTTTGTTATGAAGGTTTGGTTTTTTAACCTTCGCATGGTTTTGCTGTGAAGTTTCAAGTGTAAAGAAGTGGTCTCACGGTTCTTACGAAAACAGGTTGGTCTCACGTGAACCCAACCCTATGGGTGTAAGTATTCCTTAAGATAAAAACAATAATATAATGGTTAGAAACTTATGAGATGTTTATAAAAATTCCAATTTTGAGACAGTCCCCACAAAGTTCTCACTCTCACCACTTCGAAGTTTGCTGTTTTAGTTAAATAGAGAAAGAAATGAAATTCATACTCAAATCTCTTTGTAATACAAATCTCCAATACTTGAACCTTAGCTAAATAAATGCAAAATTCGTATCTCTACGTAATTATCACATACTTTCTTAAATCTTTATGAATCACTTAAGCCGTATTTCGAATTCCCCCATCTCTGAGTCAAAGATTTAATATTACAAAGTGATCATCTTATCCGCGTTGAGTTTTAGTCCCAACTTAAGTAATCAAGTTTACGAAGTGGTAAAAAATGAAAACGCCCAAATGTTGCATAAAAATCCTAAGTCAACTCACACTCACACTCACACTCACATAAGTAATTAGCTCATAATAGACATGGAAAACATAATGAAAGACAAGAAATAGAACTTGAATGAAAATTTTATTAAAATAAAACAAAAGTCTGTCGCCACAGTGGTGAATCTGTGGGAAACAAATTATAATTAAGAAGCTTAATACAAGAAAATTAAATGCTAAAACTTAACTTAAGAGTAAAATGTGGAGAGACTTCAACTGAATTGGGATGATCTTCAGATTAACTCAAGGCCTCTTTATATAGGGGAGGAAAGGATAAGGATGACTACCATTACCCAAAGGAAATTAGCCCTTCAAATATTATGTGGTTAAAGAGTCATCCTACATCCTTCCTTTATCCAAAACTCAGACTTCAAACGTAGTTCCAGCTATAGGCAACTTTTTAGAAAGACCTTCAAGAAAAGTCCCTCCAAAAAGTTGATCCTTATCTATAAATTCAGAATCTTCTTACTGTGTTGACACTGTGGGTACAGTCTCAAAGTGACGGTTTTCGTAATAAATTCTCATCCTTCATGTTTCATCATCTTTTTTAAACTTTTAGAATAAATGGGGAAACCAAGGAAATTGGATGTTTAAAAGACGTAAAAATAGGAGCAATAAATAATAAATAACTCTAAAAACTGAGAGTTATCAATGATCTATTTACCGCAAGATTTGCAGATTAACACTTTGATGAGACAATCTTCTCGTTGTTAGGGGGAAATAGGAAAAAAGATTTTCCAAGGGAACGACAAGAATTGTCATGGTATGTTCTCACTCTGTTTCATTTTAATCCCTGCACTTCACAATGTGAAAGTGAAGTGAAACGAATACTAAATCTTCAAAACGTAGCATACTCGATACCTGATGTGTTCACTGATATTGCAAAAGTGACAAGATCACATATATCGGCTGCAAATGGACCTGGAAGGTTATAAGTCCCCAAACATGGAAACAACACCATTGGAAAGAGTGTTGCAACCAAACATAGTGGAAGTGTGGTTGAGGCCATGGCTCCTAAAAGGAAAAAGGGGAGGCCACTTGGTTCGATAGATATTTATTAAAAAAAAAGGAGAGCAAGGCACAATCTGATCCATTTATCATCAATACTGAAAATCCCTCTCATGAGGTTGTCTCTGATTATAGTTATGTCCAGGAATCATTACTTGAGGATGCTCCGAAGTAAATATTGATTCCAAAGAACAAAGAAATATCAATTTGAATTATGAGAATGCATGAGTTGATGGAAAGATCATCCATACTTATTGATGATATATTTGCAAATATTGTTGCTCATGAGATTATAGATCACAATGACATCGAACCACACTCAGTTGAAGAATGTCAACAAAGAGTAGACTGGCCTAAATGGAAGGAGGCAATCTAGGCAGAACTAGATTCTTTGGCAAAGAGATAGTGTTTGGTCCGGTAATGCTAACCCTACTAAGTGTGAAGCCTGTAGGACATAAATAGGTCTTTGTTAGAAAGTGTAATGAGAATAATGAAGTCATGATATATAAGGCTCACTTTGTTTTCATAATATATAACACGAAGGTCGTTCTCAAACAAGATATGTTTTTATAAAATCGGGAACACGATGATTTCTTGGAAATCTACGAAGCAAACCCTTGTAGCTACCTTCTCGAACTATTAAGAGATTATTGCTCTATATGAGGCGGCTCGAGAGTGTATATGGCTAAGGTCTGTCATTACACATGTAAGAGGGGCTAGTGGTTTAAGTTCAACCACTCAAAGTCCTACATGCATATATGAAGATAATGCAGCTTGTATTGAACAAATGAAAGTATGATTTAATGATTTATCAAGGGTGATAATACAAAACATATTTTGCCCAAATTTTTCTATAATCAGCAACAACAAACTCTCCTTAAGATTCAAGTGAATCAAGTAAGGTCTTCGGAAAATGTAGCTGATTTATTTACCAAATCACTGCCTAAGGCCACATTTGAGAAACATGTGGAAAACATTGGAGTGCGAAGACTTTCCAAACTCTATCGATTAATGTACGTATCAGGGGGAGTAATAGACAACAGGGGGAGTCTACTATACATGTGATATTGGTATGTTGCGCTCTTTCCTTTACCTATCGTTTTATTTTTCTCATCGGGTTTTGTTCCATGGTGCAAGGTTTTAGTGAAACAACAATTTGTATACCATATTGTGTTCCTAACGCTCATGATTAATATATGAATCTAAGAGAATATTAGACCAAAGGAAAAGTCTATGTATTGCAAATAAACTGGTGCATTGTACTCTTTCCTTCGTCTTATTTTTCCCATCGGGTTTTTATTTTAGCGTAAAGTTTTAACGAGGTAACAGTTGTGCGTCATCACTCCTTTGACTCGGCACAAGGGGGAGTGTTGTAGGATAAGTGTGATATCGTCTAAAGGATATGACAATCTATATAGAGATAAACATATTAGAGATAGATTATATCTAATATTCATTGTAGCTATCTACTTGCATCCCATCCCTATTAAAGAGATTTTGATTAATGAGAATTACAGATTCACTCTATATTCTATTGTTGTTTTCTGTCAGTTATTCTATAATAGTTTACAACTTGTGGATTGTTATTGCTCATGTATAACTTGTTAAAGCTATGGATGTATATCCTTAAACACATTTTCAACCTCATCCATATCCCTAAACCCGTTCAACTTCATTCCTATCCCTATCCCTATCCCTAAAACCTGTTCAAATCAAAACCATTGCTATCATCATCTTTAATTAAATGGTTAGAGGCATTTAGTTACTATGAATACGAAATAAAATGTTGGCACCATCTATGGAGGTGCTGATCTCATTCATAGTTTCTCAAAGTCTTTTGCTCTTAATTTTACTTGTGAAGGGTTATTTCTATTTTAAAGGATGGCCTTAGAATGCATCCCTTTGCATCTATTCTATATTTGGTTTCAATTATAAAGCAGGTGAGAGTTTTCTCTCAATTTGTTTTGGTTGTCTATTTCACCCATGGCAAGTGCACTAGAGGATTTCCGTTGTTACTTATGGTTTATTCATTTTTCACGATTATGATAAAAATTCAACATTATACTACTTGTTCATTATCATCATAGTTGTATCATGATATTTTGTGATTTTAACCTTGATTAACCCTGTTAACCTGTTGTTAGGTATCAACAACCATTGCCTGGTGACCAGGTGAGCCTGTTGAACGAATGAGTAGGACAAAGGTGTAAAATTTTCGAATCAGTTTTCTACTAGTGCCAGATCAGAACCCAACTTCCTTTGACGATAACCCATAAAACCGACTGCAATTTGTATTTTTAGACTGCATTTTGGAGGGCTGCTTATATTTGTATTACTGCTTGGATATGCCCATTTCATGGTCTAGTAGGGTGATCTACACATGACTTAGATTGAACCTTATTGGCACTTGGTATGTCATTTTCAGGCACTCCCAGAATGGTGA